ACATTTTTATATATAATGTTAGCATTTTAAAATTAAAAATGTTAGTTATTAGAAATTAATACTATAAATATTAACAACATTTTATAGTAACGCAATTTCATTCACATTTAAATATTTAAATAGAATTTGTATTTATTTTAATAAAATAGAAACAATTATAGATTTATTAACTTAAACCATTTAAGAAAATTTTTTACGTAGTTGTGTGATTATTACGTAATTGAAATTTCTCATATTTTTACTGCTTATTAATAAATAATGTTGGTATCATTATAAAAAAGTTCTTTTTTGTTAATAATTTCATAATATTATGTGATAAACACATTTTAAACTTTAATGAAATTTATCAGAACGAAAATAATATTGAATGAGTTCGTTATTAAAAATTAACACGTATCTCTCAAATCTCAATACATGCAGAAATTAACTCTAATACAGTTAATACGGGAACAAAATTATTCATAAAATTGTTAAACTAATTGGAATCCGGAAGAATTTGAAGTACTTTGAATGGAAAGATAAATTCGAAGATGATAGAAAACTCTTATAAGAAATTTTTTTGAATTAGAAAAAAAGTCAGGTAATCAAGAGTATACAAACAATTGCTTAGAAAAATTAAAAATATTTGGTAATTGATATATATTACCGTGAATTGATTACAGCAAGTTACGGGCACAAAATCATATAAATTATCGAGTACAGCGTTGTTATTTTTATCTTATTTTAATCTCTACCGAGTTTTACAGAGTTACTTTTGGCAAGAGACAAAAATTCCGAGTGTCCCGTAACTTATGAAAACAACTGTAAACATGTTAACCTATCGTGACCTTAAGCTTGAGACTTTAAAAATTAAGTTAGATTATATTTTATGAAATTCGACTTCTAGTATAATAGTAATCTCAGAAAACAATTGAGCATTAACATCGTCTAAGGTGTAAGCCTATAGGCTCCGGTTAAAACTTGAGATAGTAAAGAAAGCCGCAATTTTGACACGAACCGTTCGGTATTTTGCGTTTCTTTTTGATTGACGCTGACATTATATTAATTATTAATAAGTAAATTTTGATAGATATTAGTAATTTTTTAAATTTAGTGAAATGTACCTTTAATAATAAAAACGAGAGTAATAAACATTCAATTGAAGAGTAGTTTCATAATCTTTTGCGTGTGAAAGAGAAAGATCTTCCATTTAATATTATCAGTAATTAATACATGAGACGTTGATTTAGATGACCATTATTTATTGAGAAGTGGACACTCGCTGAACATAAAAACTGAAAAGTTTCAGACCGTGGTTAAATTATCTATATTCTTGACGTTTAGATTATCCTCCAGTATAAATAAATTGAATTGTGTAATGTGAAACGCGAGATATACTATTAGGCCATATGTACAGTACGTTCCAATTCTCCAATTCCGGCTAATGAAATTATTATCCTGCGTGGGACGAGATCATCCATCAGCCGCAACAGAACGTTTTTGACTTCCCTAGCGTAACCTGAAAAAAATGTCACGAAATGGCCGGCATTACGCAACTTGACTGAAATTAAGTGTGGCGCACTTGTGACGAATAAGGTGTGACGAATAAGTTTTTACCTACTCGAAAAAAACTAAGTCCCTCAGATACAGTACTTATAGAAAATGGAAACGCAGTGGGGTGTGACGGTAGTGACAAAAAAATGTCACGTGATTTTTCGTGACATTTTTTTCAGGTTACGCTGGGAAAGTCAACGTTTTTTGGGGTTTTTTTTAACTTCAAACTTTCCTTTTTCGGTTTGGTTTTTTAAACCGAAAATTTTTTTAAATTTAATTTTTTTCAACTTTTTTTTATTTTTTTTTTTTTCACTTATCTTTTTTAGGTTTGGCACTTTGGCCTTTTCTTTTAAACAGAATTTTTTTTTTTCCGGTTAATGAAATTTTAATATTTTTTTTGCTAATTAATGAAAATTTTAATTTCTTATTAATCACATTTATTTTCAGCTATTGCCAAAGCCTATCTTGTTAAAGTAAAATTGCTTTTTTTCAATATATATATATATATATATATATACATATCGGTTTTTATAACCAGGTAATTTATTATTTTTTTAAAAAAATACCTTTTTTTCGTTCTTATAGACTGAAATGTTTCCAAATTTTAATTTTCAGTTAATTTTTTTTATTTACTCGTTGATTATTATGAAATTTTAAAATATAATTTTTTCAAACTTTTATTTTCAAAGATAATTACTACATTTAACAAATTTTTTATTTTACATACTGTATAATAAATATAATTTACTGAATATTAACGCTAATATATACATCTTTAACGATCAAGTAATAAATTTTTTTATGCTTTTTAGTTTAACAAGTGTAATGGGAGATAAGAACATAAGAACGTTAGGGATCTTCTTAGATGTAATGATCTCATTAAAATTACTTAAAAATATAAATAAAAATTTTTATTATTAAATATTTAAAATATTCGTAAGATTAAATGAATTGATATTGCAATATTTGCACAAATTTTCTTAATACGAATTATTTTAATCTATAATATTTTAAAACATTTAAAATACTATAATTTTGCACTGCATGTTTGTATGGTTTTGCGCAGTGGTAAGATGAAAAGTAGTATAGTGATTTTAAATAAAAAAGAATTTTTTCTTCAGTTTTTTTTTCTAAATTTTATTTCGATTTATTCACCAATTTTTATATATTTTAATTAATTAAATTTCAATAAAAAAATTTTAGTAGATTGATTGCTACGATCCTTTTTTCCGATTTTTATTTCTTTCTTCCTAATTATTTTTTCATTATTTTACCTTTTACCTTTTAGGTCAGTGTTGTAATATAATCAAACTGTTTGCATGATGAGGTGCCCGAACAAAATAAAAAAAGATTATGTAAAGAAAGACAGGCATGTAACAAAAAATGGAAAAGGCCATGGATGAGCAGTATATTGTATATTACAGCGCAATAAGTTACAGGTTCATAAAATTAGTTACTCCACTAAAGGATTTGTTAGGACTAAAAAGGATTAAAGATGTATTATGTAATTAGTAAATCGATGCCAAAAATGAGGATTGGCATCCTAAAAAGAAAATCGGTAAAAATCAAAATTTGTATATGTATACGTACTTGATACGTATGCCGTATAGTACATTTCAATACTTACCACGCAAAAATGGTTTAAACTTTAAAAAGTAAGTTAATTTTTTTTTTTTTTTGAATGATAAATCAAAAATTATAAAAAAAAATCAACCAAGTGATTAAGATCAAATTATAATCAAGCTGAAATTTGAAAAAAATCCTAGAGACTGTACAGAATACAATCCAAGATTTGTTAAAATTTTTTGATGATTATTTAGTTAACAATAAATCAGTAATTATCTGAAGAATTTCTCATCGGGTTATTATGATCTATAAAAATAGTTTTTTAACGTTAAAAAATGAATCTAATAATTCAAAGAATTTTTTTTTTTCCATGATAAATAATTATTACAATTGAGAACTTTTTTATTGTTTATATGTTTCAAATGAATGAAATTATTTGCTTTTTCTTATTAATAAGTAATATCTGAGAATTTCTCATCGGAGTTATTACAATCCATAAAAATAAATTTTTTGATGGTAAAATTGATCATCAAAATGTAATTAATCTAGTAATAATAATAATTATCAAAGGAATAATAATTATCAAAGGAATTTTTTCTTATCTTGATAAAACAGATTTAATAGTATTCCGAAAGGGTCAAATCAAACCCAGGTTATTGACCCGACTCGTATTTAGGGGTCGGGTTGGGGTCGCACGATTTGATGACCGTAACCCGCATGAACTCGATCCGACCGTCGAGTCGGGTTATACCTTTACTTTAACCTGAGCAACCGATTATATTTTTAAAATTTAAATTTTTTTATATTACAGCTGTTTTCATAAGACCTGGGACAAAATAAATTTTTGAACCCGATTCAGTTGTTATTTATTTTACAAATAAATCTGGATCACGTGCCCAGCTAAAAATACCAGGTCGGCGGATCGGCGGATCGGCGGTTCAGGTTCAAAAATTTAGTTTGTCCCAGGTCTTATGAAAACAGCTGTAAATACAACTTGACGGGTCGAACCCGGGTTATCCGAGTCAGACTATAATTGGGTCAAGTCGAATTCGGGTCATTACTTTACGCACTTTACGCTCGGATCGAGTTCGATACACCTCAAAACCCGACCAGACCCGAACACTAATTATTTAACTGAAGTTAATATAATTGAGTTTTTTTTTTTATTGTTTGTATACAGTATTTTAAATGACTGAAATTTTTAATATTTGTTATTAAGTTATTTAGGATCTATAAAAATTTTTTTTCAACTGTAAAAATGATAGACTACGCCAAAATGATCAAGAGATTTACTTCCACTTTCCACGTCATTTTCTCTATTTATTTTCATATCATGTTAGTAAGATTAATTATGCAAGTAATACTGTGTTATACAATGAAAATTTTTCAATATTATCAAACTTTTTTTTTTAAAAAAAAATCAAAATTAATAATTTAGGGAATTTATGTGATTAAAGAAAAAGCATAAAATACATTTATTTAATTCTTATAATTGATTACAAACTGGTCTATTTAATAAACTATCTATAATTCCAGTGATCAAATTATAAAACTAACATAATATTTAAATTATTTTGCATGTTTTTCTTCTAATAATTTCTCTAATTTCTCTAATTTCTCTTCTAATTTCTCTAACTTATCTAACTTCTCTAATTTTTCATCATGTGATTTTAATTTCTCCAACATTACCTCATTGTCATTAAGATTATGTTCAATTCGAAGTACTTTGAATAAATTTTTCCGCATCTCTGTGAATTCCTTAGTATCCCATTCACCCTCTTTAATCAATCTTTTAATTTCTACTCGTGTCTTATCAACGTCAGCATAATAATGTCTTGAAAAAAAAAAATTCGAATAATTAATAAAAATCAATAAAATCATGACATTAAGTTTGTTTAAAAGTAAAATTACATACATTACTTCAGGAAACCATGTTTTCCAACGTCTCTGATGTGGTAACAGGTAAAATAACTCAATCTCAGCCAAAATCTTTAAAAAATAAATCGAGATATATTAGTATATTTACAGAAATGGAATGATTAATAATATTATTATTTACCTCTGCCTTCTGCATTAAATATGAGACTCTATTATTATCTTCTTCAATTGCTATATTGAGTAATCCAATTAACAAGTTCATAAGATATACAACAACTAAAAGGGAAAATAAAACAATCAATACTGCAATTGATGAATTTTCAGTATATGACCAATTAGATAATGCACTTGAATCACCTATTGATAAGAAGAATTGCTTAAAAATATTAGAAAATATTATATATATTTACATAATTATGAAAAATTTAAATATACCTATCAAAAATAAATATATAGCAAAAAGAGAAGTTTTAATATCTATAAACATGTTTGTATTCTTATCAGGAATTTGAATCATGAGTGGGTTGGAATTTATATTTCCATTATTATCAATTTGACTATAACTAGGAGCTAAATTCCAAGGATTGTTTGGATCATTGTTATTATTTGTATTATATTGTTCAAGTGAAATTTCAGATTTTGGTGATAATAAAATATAAAATGCATGTGCAAAACTTATTATAATGATAAATAAGACTAATAAAAAAGAAAAAATCTTTTTTCCAACACTAATAATAATTGCAAAATATACACCAAAATATTCAAATGCTCTAAAAAATAATAAAAATTTTATATCCAAAAATAAGCATGAAAAAGAAAGCAATTGAATTAGATACTTATTATTATTCCTATCATTTGTTTGAAGCCAATAAATAGAAGTGTAAATTGAAAGCACATAAGCAATTATATCTGCAATAATAAAATATTATATAATTAATTTCATTTTCTTAAACGTAGTAAAATAATTAAATTAAACATCATATTTACCAAAAATATTCCAAAAATTATAGAACCACTTAGTAATATTATAACAAAATTGACGAATTTCAAAGATCAGATGAATAGATCCAAGTATAATTGAAGCAATAAAAAGTTGTTGTCTAACTTCTTTATTAATATATTGCTGAGGAATTGTTGCAGCAGTAGTAAAGCATCCGAGCAAAGTCATAAATAAAATCCAAATAATTGCATAATAATATTTTCCATAAGCATTCCATTTGAAATTAATTAATGCTTCTCCATTCCATGTTTTATAAATATTTCTATTTATTGTTTCAGTAAATGGACTAGGTTGAGGTTTAATTAACTCTAAAAACCAATTATAATCTTTTGAATAATTAACAAAATTAATATAAGGAATCATAAAAGTAATTGTTGGTGTTGTTGTTATATATTTTTCAATTTTAAGTTTAATATAGAAATAAATATCAGAGGATGTTGAAAAGGAAATATTATTAATAAAATTGTATTTTGATAAAATATAAAATGTAGCCAAATAAAGGGGTAAAGTTAAAAGTATTATTAAAGTTTGAATAGTCCATCTAATAAACCGTAAAAACAAAAATAACAAGAACTTCTTCCACCATTTTATACGAAAATTACAAAAACGTTTATTATGCCATTTTGTCCATAAAAGAGATTTTGATAAATTAGCTATTTGAGGAGATTGAAAAAAAGAATAAAGATGAAAATTTTTATTTCGATGCTCTATACTATAAAAAGAAGAATCTATGATCATGTTCGTTTCTGATGAATATTTTAGAATATATTCTGGATAATATTCATCTAGTAATGGCATTGCAGAAGTGATAATGCTTAAAAATGACTTATTGTTCATTAAATCCTCTTTAAAACAAGCCATACATTTTTTATAAATATCATCAATTAATTCTAACTTATGTTCCTTAATTGCAAATTTTAATAATTCAACTCCATATTTCAAAAGACTTGATTTATTATTTATTACATCTGAAATCCATCCATCTAATCTAAAACTATCATAAGTTGGTAATGGCAAAGTAGATTTTGAAAATATTCTTTTGCAATGTTGAAGTGTTTTCATATATTTTTTCTTGTTATAATTTTTATATGGATCGATAAAATAAAAGTAGTTTAAAAAAATAGATTTGACTTTTTCACTAGATTTTTCATTTTCACTAGATTTGTTATTTTCACTAAAAGTATAAATAAGAATACCAAATGATATCAATATAACAATATCATCATTATTTAATAATGAGCTCGCAATTAATTCATGCTTTTCATAGGATTTTTTAAATTTATAAGGAAAATTTTCAGTTCTCGTGCTAATTGATTCCCATTTAGTATTAATTTTTTTGAAAACTTCCAGTTTAATTTTACCGTCATCAATATTGATATGTATATACCATTTAATTAAATTTCCAGTTAATTCGATTGATTCTTCTCTATCATTTGCTATGGCTTCTTGAAATAATGTAGACACAGTATCCATATTATATAGATTAAATGAATGAACATTTAAGTATTCATCACATTCAACAATTTTATTATTTTCTTTATTTAATTCATCAGACTTTTCGGATGAAAAGTTCGTCTTTGACATCTTTTCGTCAAATTTAGATTTCCAAACACGTTCATTTAGGATTCCAAACACATACTTTGTTTGATAATAAGTTGATTTATCAAATAAAGTTTGATTAAAACTATTTTTGTATTTATTGTTCCAGCAATATTTGATTTCTTTATCTGGTGTATAATAGAATAAAGAAGGTAAAAGAAATAAACCAGTATGATTCATAAAATTATATAGCTGAATATCTAGATGAAAAAATAATGATTTAATGAGTAATAATTATTAAAGTATAAATAAAATTTTTTAAAAATGGTTACCATCATTTATATCCAAAGTAGCAATAGGAATTCTCAATTCGATTGAATAAACGATGATTTTATCATTGATTTTTAGGAAAATAAACTTTTCATTACTGAATAATCTAATATTTTTTGTTTCAAACTAAAAATAAATAGTATTTAATATATTTAATTATAATTTAACATCGATTGGTTTGAAAATAAATTTTATAATATTTATTACCTTATTCTTATACTTATTATTATCGAATATTTTTACACTTTTCTCAGTATTAATATTCCATTTATAAATGTAATCATTTGAAAACAGGTAAACTTTATCATATTTTGATATACTAATTAATTCATAATCTTCGGGTATCTTGTAAAATCTCTTACATTCCCATTTGTCATTTTTAGTTTGTGTGGAATAAATCCAAATAATTTTATGTTCCCCAATATTACGATTAATGTAGACTAAACTATATAAAATAAATTCACCTTTTGAATTAAAGGTACAATAATAATTTGAAGCATCTATTTCTAAATTTAATGCAATTTTATTATCTTCATTATTCATATCGATTACTAAAAAACATTAAAATAAATATCAATTTCCATAATTTAATAATTACATAATCAAACAATTATTACTTACTAAAACTTTTTTTATTATCATGATCATAAATACCAACAAGTTTCTTATCATCAGAAACACATAAACTTCTTACATAAATATCATATGCAGTCCTTTTGATATATCTATAAATTTCAACAGTTTTATGAAATTTAAGTTGAACCTTATCTATATCTTCAACATTCCAACCAACAATTGAACGATCTTCTTCACTATAAGTAATAAGGTATTTTTCATTTGGTGATATTTCTATCATAGTAATAGGTTTGCCATTATGTGGTTTATGTGGTTCATCATCGAAGATAAATATTTTATCAACATCAATTTTATCAACTTCGATTTCGATTTTGTTAGTATCATCGTCAATTTCGATTACTGAATTGTCGCTCATTTGGTAATCGTTTATAAATATATAAATTTATTACTAAAGAAATTATTTTTTATATCGTCCATTGGTGATTATATCCTTTTTTTTATTTGAAACACGTGTAAATATGCATGGATATACAGTACGTAAAATTTCGCCTCTTGCATAAAAAAAAAAAAATTTTTTTTATTATGAAAAGTTAATTGAGTTTAAAATATATGTATAAATCTGTACGTAAATTTCGCCTCTTGCATTAAAAAAAAAAATTTTTTTTTATTGTGAAAAGCTAATTGAGCAATGATAAACTTTCGACAAAAAATTTTTCGTGATCAATTTTAAGTATTTTTTTTGTGCATGGTTGTACATATATATAAGGAAATCTCAAATGAAAATATGTCTTTTTTAAAAACGACACTTTTCTTTTTTCGGTAACTAAATACAATAATTATTTATTTATCTTAAACTATAATATAAAAATAGTCTAGAAATCCTTATTAGGAAAATGGTTACATACTTTTGATTATCGGGCTGTGTTAATTGTGTAATGTATTTTTAAAAAAAGTTTCGTAATAAGGACGTTTAGCTACAAAAATAAATCCTTTGTTATAAAATAAAAATTATAACATTTCCCGAGTCTCTTAACGAAAATAAAAATAAATATGAAAATAAAAAAAAATTTTAAGAAAGAAAAGAATTTCTAAGTTTACTAATTCAATAAAATACATAAAATATATTTATGAAAATTTAAGAACAAATTAAAATAATAATTTCCTTGAACAAATCTATGAAATATAAAATTATATTTTCAATATTTCTTGATCATATTACTTTATAATAATTAACCAATAAAATAAAATTCTCTTAGATAACGTCATCGCAGACAACGTCATTTCGGACCGCAGTAAATTTAAAACATTAAAATTTTATATAATACTGCGGCCTAAAATTAATAATTTTACTAGGTAAATTCAGCCCTTACAGTACCCAATAGCTAATATATACACTATTTGACGTTGAACGAATGTAGCAAATATAGATTTTTAGATATGAATACTATGTGTTACATGCTCACAATTTAAAAGATATTCAAATTTAAAAATTTTTCAGTAGTATCGTATCATTATAAAATTCTGCAATCATTAAATTAGCTAAGTTAAAAAAATCAAGCCGTCAGCCGATTAATAAATTTACTGTACATCATGTGACATATTTGACCCCATGCGATGATCGCCCAGGCGACAATCACCCAATCAATTATACAGTATTTATATGGATATGCTGTATTTCTTGTATTTATTATTAACATCTTAGCTATATACTTGCATTGCAAATATGAGCAGAATTTCATTAATATTTCTTTATAATATAAAAAAATGGCATAAATTTAAATGATATATAAAGATGATTTTATTACACTTTAAATTACATTTATATAATGGAAATTTGTAAATTTCAAATGACATATACACTTCATGGAAATTGGAACTAATTTCTGTAACATACATTTTAATTAGATTTAATCTGTTAAAAATGGAAGGAAGGAAGCCAGTGATAGTAAATTACTGGTAAATCTATATGAAACGTGACATGTACAAAATTTCTCTAAATTTATTGCATCGCTTTGTATAGGTATAACAAAAATTTCAGATTTTTTTTTAAAATTTTTTTTTCCAATGATAATAGAGCAGTATAATACACAAGACAGAAATTATATAATAATTTTTTTTTTTAATAACACCAATAGAACGTAAAATTTTTTGTTAAAAAATTTTTTTTAATAGCAATAGATCATTATAGTACAAAACTTTTCAGGAATGTTTCTTTTCAATAATTAATCCCATTGCAACGCAACAGGCTACAGCTAGTAATTTATTAAAAAAATCTTTTTAAAAAAAAAAAATTACTAATTAAATTTTGATTATTTTTGTAAATGCTAGCAAAATGCAACTTATAGATTAAATTTGAATATTTCAATACAGAAAATTAAGCAATGAGGGACGAAGTCCCCTGCAAAATGCATATTCTAGTTAATGCCACAAAATAAAAGGGTAAAATTTTTGTACTATGATGTCATAATAAAAATTTTAGCGTAACATTGTAAACAAATGAATATTTGGTCGAAACATCAAACCGTATGATCGAATGGAAATTATAATGATTTTGTTTTTTCTCCCTATTCCATAAAGGTATGTAATAATATATAATTTTGGTTCATTCTTTTAAGAAGGTTACCAAATTGCCATTAATCATGTAAGAAATATTTGGTGATATGAAAAATTTTTGCAACTTGCGCTACCATAATTTTATTCGCATAAACAAAGACAAAATTTCAATTTACATTACTACATTAGTTATATAGCCACTCAATTCACATAAGCTGTATGTTAAGCGATCGTATCCCGGATTCTCGGTAAAATTAAAGCTATAAAGATTCTTCTTTATGTATAAGATCTCCAACTTGAATAAGTGGCGTTGGACGCAAATATAGTTCATTTTCTTTATCGTTCTTATATTTGGTTAAAAGGGGTTGTTCTCTGGCTCTGGGAGTATGAGACGAGCTAGCCTTCCCGGTTTTATCATCCTTGTTGGCGTAAATCCTAAACATATTTCCAGACCTTCGTTCTTCTCCATTGGCAAAATTACGTCCTCCGGCTCCTTAAAGTTAAAAAGACATGAGAGTTTGGTACTAATCAGTAGAACTTTAAATAGACTTACCAGCTGATTTTGTTCTAATAACTTCTCCAACTGATTCAAAGTTAACGCCATTTTTACGAACTTCGATTTCCTTATACTCAGTTATACTCTTTGAATGCTAAAAGTTCAACAGATAACATTTTAATATATTGAGATTTAAATGTTCTAGTGATTATAAATAACTAAAACTTCGTCGTCTTCTTCAAATGGTTCACCTGCTTCCTGTCACTTTTTTAGTGCAGTTATATTAATAGATTTTCTGGCCAACTCCTCCAAATGCTCTTTCGTTCCTGGCATTTGCAGTAGTTCTAAGGCCTTTTTGTGTCGTAAAGCTAAAAGTTTATCTGACATGTTTATAGTTTTGTTTTCGCGTTAAAAATTATTAAAAAGTTAAATAAATCGAATGTCATAATTGCTACATCACACAAATCATTCGAATTCTTGACGCATTACGATATCAATAGACACATACATATATAGAATCGTTTATTCTGTAAGTAAATCGAAAAATTGTCTTATTTGATTTATGTGAATATACTTGTAATTTATAACATGAGTTTGAGTCTAATATTAATCTAATCAATCTAATCAATCTGATATTTTAACATATTTTTAATACCGGTATTATTTAAATAATTACGTTACGTTTTGTTGATACCGTTACGTATGGTTATTTATTTACAGTTATAATCACTAATTTGCTGGTATGATAATTCATTTACTGTTCGTAATATATATTACTACTATTAAAGTTACAGATATGTTACGAAATAACATATACAAAGGATCCATACCTGTAATATCATAAAATTTACACAAGCGTCCAACTGATAATAGCAAATAATGAAAAGCAATCAGCTAAACAAGAAGGAATTTATGGAGTATTGCCTTATAAGTTTTACGTGGATATCAATATACAAAAACTATGATGCCACTCAAAATTGAATTGTTTGTTGTTTATATATTTTATCAGAAGAATATTATAGACTTGATATAGTAATGTACATATATAATCTAGAAAATATATTAATTGTTATAAGTTTATACCGTTAAAAATGTGTTGGAAACTTCTCACTTCACCCTTATTTATCCATATCCAATTTTACATGTACGGTTCATTAATAAATAATATTAGCAATTAATCATACCATTGTATTTTTTGTTTAAATAACAAAGTATAAAAAATATAATTTCAAAGCTATGAAACTTCAGTTTTCTTAATTAAAAAAAAATTATCAAACCATGAAAATATTGAACTAGTTCATTTTTACAACAATTAAACGTCATATTATGTTGGCGTTAAATCATTTTGCGTGATTCATCTCAGTCTGTTGATTTCTTCATACTTATATGGATTGTTAAAATACGAAAACAAAAAAATTATAGGATTGTTAAATTAGTTGAATTTCGGACGAATTTAAGTATTCTAAATAACAAGATGAATTCGAAGATGATTATAATTATCGATTCTTTGAATTAAAAAAAAAAAAGTTTTGTGTTATGTTACACGGAAAATTAGATCAACAGGGCTAATGTTGTTTAACATTATTCGATCATCATTATGGTCGCACAAAATAATCTAATTCGACCGGAGTTTATTTCCGTTGTTTATTATATAAATTAATGATAGTTTCAAATTTTGCTTAAAAAAAAAAAAAAAAATTATATAAATATATATCATTATCCGGATACCATATAAAATTAGGTTATTCCAATTATAAAAGATTCATTAAACTTGAAAATAGAGAATGTCTAAACTCAATAAAGATATTCTTTTCTTATTATTTGAAGAATTACAAGACGATTCAAAATCTCTCTTTTCATGTCTAATGGTTAATAGACTTTGGTGTGAAACTGTGATTCCAATTTTATGGAGGAATCCTTGGAACTACCATGGTATTAATTATTATAATAAAAATTATTTATTTACAATTATTGCTTCTTATTTATCTAATGATATTAAAGAATTTTTAACAAGACTAGGAATTCAATTATTGTCAATTTCATGTCAATCACTTTTGTTTGATTATTTATCTTTCTGTAGAAGCATTAATGTAAATATTATAAACTCTATAATTTCTATTGGATCTTCTTCAGTAGATCATCGATTGTTTTTACAACAAGAATTTTATGGTCTCGTTATGAAGAAATGTTCAGAATTGAAGTATTTGGATATGAGATCACTCGAGTATCAAATATTTTATTTTCCAGAAGCTAAACTCCGGTTTGAATCACTCTATGAATTAAAATGTGATACATCTATCGACATTTCATACTTTTATGGATTAGCACGTATTTGTCAACATATACAGAAGCTCACCATTATTAATAATATTAACAAAACTAATCTTGGAATTGTTAAATTAATTGAAGTTCAAAAAAATTTAAAGTATTTTGAATGGATGGATGAATTTGATGGTTTTATCTCTAAAATAGATCCTTATAAAGAAATTCTTCTTGCATTAGAAAAAAAGGCAGATACTATCGATCATTTAGAAATATATTTAGACTATTTAGATCGCACATTGCAAAAAGTACTCCCAAAACTTCATAAACTAAAATCATTGATAACTAGTTTTGAGGCTTTCAGTGAGGAACAATCAAAAAAGTGTGTTTATCGTGATCTTGAGGTCTTTAGAGTAGAATATTATTGTTTAAAAGCAAATTCAATTATAATTGAAAATAGTGGAGGACATATAAAGAAAATTACAATAGACCCTTGTGAATATTATTATTATGAATATTATAAAAACTTTAATGAATATTCCCTCATTTTTATTCGTAAAATTTACGAAAATTGTCCCTTGATTGAATATTTGTCTCTTGTATTTTCATCGTCAAAGCAACATTTTAGTGAATTTGAAAAATTACTAAAAGTTTGTCAAAATTTAAAGTCATTATTATTAATTATATGTATCATGGATGAGTTAGAAACTGATGAAAAAAATTTAGAAAATGGGAAAGAAGTATTAAATACATTAATTAGATCAGCGCCAACTAATTTAAAAGAAATTAGATTTTTTGATCATATTAAATTCTCTTTGGAAGCCTTGGAAGAATTCTTAGAAAATTGGAAAGGTCGTCCACTTTCCATACTTACATCCGATCCTCTTTATGAAGGAGAAAATTATGTAAAATTGATTAATAAATATAAAAATAACGGAATAATTAAAAGTTTTAGACATGAATCTTCAATGAATGTAGGAGATATGGATTTTAAGATATGAATACTATGTTATCACATTTTGTTATTATGTTAGTATTTAAAATAAAATTGTTTGTTGTTTATATTATCCATGAATATTATAAATTTTATAGTAATAATCTAGGAAATATATTTTATTATTTATAAATTATTGTAAGTTTATTACGTTAAAAATGCGTTGTAGTTGTGGATTTATTTATTAGGCAATAGAAACTTCCTTATTATCCAATTTTACATGTACGGCTGATTAATAATAATAATAATCATACATACCATTGTAAAAAAAGTTCTTTTTTTCTAATAAAAAAGTATAAAAATAATTTCAAAACTATGAAACTTAGTTTTTTTAATTTAAAAAATTAAAAAAAATTATCAAAGCGGGACAATATTGAACGAGTTCATTTTTACAACAATTAAACGTCAAAATATCATGTTGGCTAAGCTTCGTTTTAAATTATTTTGCGTGATTCATCTCAGTCTGTTAATTTCCTAATACGAAGACAAAAAAATTATAGAATTGTTAACGTTAACTGGTTGAATTTTGAAAGAATTCAAGTACAGTATGATTCTAAATGACAAGATGAATTCGAGGATGATTATTACCGAAAATTCTTATATAGAAATCCTTCTTGAATTAAAAAGCAGATAATTCAATCGCCCACAAACAAATACTTCTAAAAAATTTATAAATTAAAAGCATTAATTAGTTAACGATTTCGACTTTTTTTACTAAGAATTAATTAATCTCGTTAATCTATCTCGACCTTGAGACATAAATTATATTTCATTAAATGCGGCTTCCAGTATGATTGAAAATAGCGGAGACCGTCTAAAGTAAATTTTATCAAAATATTATAATGCATTTCCTGAATTTAAAAAATTTATCAAAATTTAGCCATTATTTATAGTTCAGTGTATATCATAGCTGTTAAAAATACTCTCAGCTTAGATCGGCATTAAATAATTACGGTACGAGAAATTAGAAATTCTTAGAAATTGGTTCCATTAACTATAAAAAATCGATTAATAAATAAAAAAAATAATGTGGTAATCAAAGATTTTTTTAGATTTGAATCTAAAATAAATACAATATCAACTTTAAAATATAAATACTAAGCCCACCTTCGCTAAAGTCAAAATTTTATAATTTAATGTATTTTTACTAAAAATTAATATTACGGTACTACAAATATAATAATAATAAATAAGTGGTTTTTAACCTTTATTATGCGATTGTAAGATCCCTGCTAATTGACGTAATGTTTAATCTTTTCATGTGAAACATCATAATGGTCGCACAGAGCAATCTCATTTATAAAGACAGTTTTTCGTTTCTTTTTTTTTTTTTTTTTTTTTTTTTTTTTTTTTTTTTTAAAAAAAAAAAAATATTTAAATTTTGTAAAATTATACTAAAGTCATCTTTAAAAAAAATATTTCAATTACAAAAAATTTATTCTAAAACATTTTTCATTATTTTTAGATAAAGAATGTCAAAACTCAATGAAGATATTCTTATTTTAATATTTGAAGAATTACAAGATGATTCAAAATCTCTCTTTTCATGTCTAATGATCAATAGAATTTGGTGTGAAACCGTGATTCCAATTTTATGGAAGAATCCTTGGTGTTATGATATTGATTATCGTAATAATAAAGGTTATTTATTCAACATTATTGCTTCTTATTTATCTGATGATATTAAAGAATTCCTAACAAGACAAGGAACAAAATTACCGTCATTTTCAAACAAATCACTTTTGTTTGATTACTTATCTTTTTGTAGAAGTATTAATGTTAGTACTATCAGAATTATAACTTCTATTGGATCTTCTTTAGCTTATAATCAATTTATTTTGCAACAAGAATTTTACCGTCTCTTTATGAAGAAATTTCCAGAGTTAAAGTATTTGGATATGAAATTTATTAGGCATCAAATATTTTATTTCCCAGAAGCTAGGTTTCGTTTTGAATCACTTTGTGAATTAAGATGTGACACATCAATTGATTCTTCATATTTTTATGGATTGGCACAGATATGTCAATATATACAGAGACTTATCATTATTAATATAAACCCAAATGATTATCATGGTATTGCTGAATTAATTGGAGCTCAGAAAAATTTAAAGTATTTTGAATGGAGAGA